GGCGACGTGATGGCTAGCATCCCTGCCGAGGACACGGACTCCGCAGCATATGCGTGTTGCTGGCCAGGCTGTTTCAGCATGATCAGGGCACCACTGGACAGCGTGTGCCTCTGGCTGCTTGTGGGACCCTCAGGAGATAGTGAGGAGCAGTAGGGAGACAGCAAAGAGAAGTGAGGTGGACATGTATGGACGAGGTTTCTATATTTTACCTGGAAGTAGAGAAAAGGATTTGGAGTGAGAAGGAGTAAGAGATCAGAAACACAGACCTGAAAAATAACCCCAGCAGCACACTCCTGCCTCCTGGGCAGGGGAAGGCTGGTCTGTTTGGTGTTGTACTGCACTGTGTGCCCCCACAGAGTGTCTTCACGCTCCTCTGTGGCTGCCAGCAGTACAACCATGTTTTGCTAGGAACAGGGCTCCTTGGGGCTGCCCTGGACTGTGCAGCATTCTAGCAGGGCAGACACGGTCACAGGGACAACATACTGCTCAGTGCCGTAATCTCTCTTCCCGGTGCTCTGAGATGGTGGTAGCCCATCCCACGTCTCCTGGTCACTTCACACCTCTGCTGATTTGGGCATGTAGCACGGGTACTTTTATAAAATATGCTGCGTGTAGACATCGCTGTTTGTATGGCTTACCTGGGTTCGGTGTGACACAGAACAGCCACCTCTATGTGCTGCTGTAAGACATGAGGCAGGAGGTACCCACAGGTTGGTGCTCAGCAAGCTGCCTCCAGAGCACTGGCTGTTGTGAAGGTCTCTAAGGGATTCAGGGCCTTATGTGGCCCTTTGGGAGGAGGGAAAGGTGCCAGTGTAGGTACAACTTTTTAGCTGCAGCTGATTGTCTTGACTGTAGGCCCTAGTCAGATATAAAGACGCTGGAGATCAGTCTATAAATGTGTATACAGTCCTCCACTAATAGTGAAGGAAGAGGAACCTTAAAATGAAGTCCAATCTAAAAACTCAGTTTTCTTGGCTCGGGATCCAAAGTAGAATTTGGAGGCAAATTTCTGTGTGTGTTCAGAGTCACCTGGGGGACACTGTGGTTGACCGCTTAAAGGAGCGCTCCTAACCTTCCTGTGAGACCCTGTTAAACAAAGTGACCTTGTATCTCGTCTCGTGTGTTCACTTTGCTTTGTTCAAGGATGAACTGTGGTTTCCTTTGGAGGCCTCGTCTGACAGTCGAATTAAGTCAACTAAAGGAAGGCTCACTTCCTGTTAGTCCTGTCAGCAGTGAGATCTATTGCAAAGGCATGACCAAAGTATAGGTTTTGAGGCTGTCTATGCGTGGAAAAGCAATAGGAAGGGAGGATTGGGCTTTTTTAGAATGGAATCATTTCCTTGTTTTTGTACTGAAATGCTGTGATTTATCTCAGTGCAGCTGGATGTGATCAAGACTCCGGTTCTCTTTGACCCCTTGGTCAGTGGGAAAACTGCAGCGTATTCTGCTTACACTGGGTTTTTGCATCACCCAGCCATCTCCTCACATCTTTCCAGGTGGTAGGCATGACCAGCCACACTTTCTTGACTGGTGTTTATGACTAAGTACCTAACCAGGGAAATCACAGCATAAGACATCTCTCAAACTCGGTGCTTTTACAGTACCGATGTTCGATTCTGGCCGGAAATCAAAACCAAAGTATTTGTCCTGGGGCTTCAAGTTTTTGGGCAGCTTTTACTGACTGCAGTGTTGGGATACAAAAGGACTGTGCAGAGGTACAAGAAATGGAGTTATGACCATACGACCATTCTCTGAGAGCATTTGATCTGCTGCTTCTCTCAGGCACCTCTTAATCGTGCTGACACTGATGGGGTTCTGCCATGTAAAGATCTGTTGAGGGCAGATATGTCTGTTCATCTGTATCGGGCAGGACCACCAGAGACCTTCCCTAGGAGAGACCACATCCCTGGAGCAGTGGTTGATGTTCTTCTCTCCCCTCGCAGACGCCATGGGAAGAAGTGAGGAGCGAGATGGTAGGAGAGAAGGGGCTCTCTCCTGAGGCTGCAGATCACATCGGGGAGTATGTCCAGCTTCACGGTGAGCACTGTGGGGTCAAGCCCTTGGCCTCGTTCTTCCAGGCCAGGCAGGGAGGGCCAGCGATGGAGGGGCGCAAGGCAGCATACACGGCTGGCTGGGCCCACCGATGCGGGTGCTGCTGCACTGGCAGACGTGAGGCATGGCTCGTTCCCACAGGTGGCCTGGACCTGATCGAGGGGCTTCTCCAGGATCCCAAGTTGTCCCAGAACAAGCTGGCCAAGGAGGGGCTGGGGGACATGAAGCTGCTGTTTGAGTACCTGACCCTGTTTGGCATCACAGGGAAGGTGAGGAGGTGCAGACGTGCGGCCGGGGACGGGGCCCGACACTTCCCTTGTGCCCGACAGATCTCTTTTGACCTGAGCCTGGCGCGGGGTCTGGACTATTACACGGGGGTGATCTTTGAGGCTGTCCTGCTGCAGCAGGAGAACGACCACGTGGAGGAGCCAGTCAGCGTTGGGAGCGGGGCTGGAGGCGGTCGCTACGACGGGCTGGTGGGGATGTTTGATCCCAAGGGACGGAAGGTGCCCTGCGTGGGGGTCAGCATTGGGATCGAGCGGATCTTCTCCATCCTAGAGCAGAGAGTGGAGGTAGGTGCCTTTGGTGCTCAACTAAGCGTGGAGAAAAAGCGAGGATTTACATCTTCCCCACGTACCCCCAGTCCAGCAGATGCTGAGTGAGACTTCCTTGCTGCAGTCTTTGATGGAGAAGCCAGCCAGGCCTCTACTGTGCTCTGCAGCAGGAGTCAGAACCAGGAAATAATCTCCAATTTTTTCTGGCTTGGGAGATGATCTCTGGGGCTCCCACTGGAGACAAGACCTCTTCCAGCAGCCCTCAGACATGGCTTGCAGCTGGAGGGGGCACTTCAATCCTCAGCAGTACCAGGTACCTAGGTCAGGTGCCTTAGTGTTCCCCGCTGCGTTAGGCATCTGTGCGACCCCATGTCCTCCCTGGCAGGGCGGCACTGCTCTGCAAGGCTGGCAGGGAGACAGCAGCCTCGCTGTCTTGTCCTGCCCAAGGCACTACAGAGACCAGACGGGGATCGGATGTCGCAGGGCAGGGAGCGCAGTGCTGCTGGGGGTTTCCCAGACATGTTTTTCCTATTCCCCTCTCCTCAGAGTTGCTGTACTAATGTGTTGTCCTCTGTCCCAATCAATGGGTGTTAAGTAGGTCTTTGTAGGCTCCCAAAACGCTGCCACAGATTTCCCTCCCTCAGAGGTCTGTTGTGGGGAGTTTTCTCTTGGCAGCTAGACACAACTGGGATTTCTAAGTGGAAACTGAATTCTTCCCCCACCAGTCCTGGCCAGGTTTGTTCCTCTGCAGGTGACCTTTTAAAGGCTTCTCCCTTCAATGAAAGCAGCAGCAGGAAAATGCCACTTTGAGTATCCAGCATCTGCTACAGGAGCAGGTGGCTCCTTACAGCGCTGGAGCATCTCAGCTTCTGCTGTTCATCTAACCCATAGTTACAGCTGTAGAGCAGGCCTCTGTCCAGCTTCTGCTGGGCTTGCTGCTCCTGAGCTGCTTGGAGCAGATCCCTGGGAGGCCCTTGGGTGTCTCTAGGCAGAAGCTGGCAGGGAAATTGCTCATTCTTAGCACATCCTCCAGTCTGTGCGCACCTGCAGCGCAGCAGGGAGGCTCTGTTAAGCTCCGATCATGGAACAACCACAGAAGATGAGATTCTGCTTCAGGATGGGCTCTGTGGGGCCTCCCTGACTCTCCTGAGTTTATGCTGTTCATCCCACTGAGCCTGATCCTCTTCACCGCTAAATTGATGGGCCTGGGGTGGTGACCTGTCCTGCTTATAGGGTCTCAGATATCTCTGTATGTCCATGGCATCTTGGAGTCTTGTCCCCTCTCTAGGCCTCTGAGGAAAAGATCAGGACAACAGAGACACAGGTGCTGGTGGCCTCTGCCCAAAAGAAGCTCCTTGAAGAGCGGCTGAAGCTCATCTCTGAGCTGTGGGATGCTGGAATCAAGGTATGACCAGGTGATGGCAAAGTCAGGAGCTGCCTGGTCCACTCTCTGTGCAGGAATGGACCAGATCTGGCTTTGCTTTGGGAGGAAGGAGCCATAGGGAGAAGGTGGGCAGCAGACTGCCTTCCTGAATGGAGCCTGCCTCTCCTCTGTGTCCCGAATCAGGTGTTCTCCAGGAAGGGCTGGGCAGCGTGACTTGGTTAGCTCTGTAACACTGCAGGGGCTACTCTGTGTCTGTTATCTCAGGGCAGGTTCCCAAAGCGGGTGACACTTCAGCCCCTGCTGCGTGGCAGCTGGGATACCATGCCGCTTCCAACAAAAAGCGAAAAAACCCCGGAGCCTTGCAAGGAGGGGAGAGTGGGGCCAGGGAGGAGCCTGGGTTGTTTTCCGAGGGCCAAAGGCAAGCTGTGTGGCAGGACCTTGCTCCCTGCCTGCTGCAGACTCCCTTGATGTCTGAGGAGAATGCCTGGGTGCTCTGCTGGGCTCCTGACACCACAGGGACACCACAGGTGTCAGCCCTGGTCTGACACAGACTAGAGCTAATGACCTGGTGCTTTCTCAGGATAAGCAGTGTCTTGTGAGTACCTTTGAGCTGTGTAGCATTACTTGCTAGCTGTAATGCCCAGCCTTCTCCATTAGCCCATCTTCTCCCCCACCACACACCCCCACGCTCACCAGACGGCAATTAGCAGACTGGCTCAGCAATGCCTGGTTGAGGGGGTGCAGAGAAACAGGCCAGTGCTGATCACGGTGTTGTGCTCTGGTTCTCTTCCAGGCAGAAGTGCTGTACAAGAAGAACCCTAAGCTGCTGAATCAGCTGCAGTACTGCGAGGACACGGGCATCCCTCTTGTTGCCATTGTGGGTGAGCAGGAGCTCAAGGATGGAGTCGTCAAGCTGCGGGTCGTGGCAACCAGGGAGGAGGTGAGGCCCGTGGCAGCTTGGCGCGAGGGGGATTGGCTACTTGACCCTTCATGCCAGCTCAGGCCAGCCCTCCAGACCCGTCCGTACCCTGCTCTGCAGCGGTGCTGTCAGGTTGTACACGGCAAGGTGGCTTTGCTGGCCCACATTTTGAGTGTAGTGCCCAAAGGGGAGATCAGGGGAGTAAGGCACTTCCACAGAGCTGCTTCCACAGGAGGTGTGGTGAGGGGAAGGCTTTCCACACGCAGCAGGCAGAGGGGCACAAGCCAGGGCTGGCAGACTCGAGGTGAGGCCTATGGACTAATGGTGGTGGTCTTGTGGGTGCACTTTTGGAGACTGGGTGAGGTGAGTTTCCTCAGCCCCTCCTGACTTGCTGTGGAGCATGTGTCCTAGTGTCAGTTTGCCACCAAGCCCCCTATAACAAGTTCTCAGGATTTCACACATTGGCTTCCTCATTAGATCTTTTCAAGCAGTGCTCTATCCAGGGACTTCTGCAACACCTCACATTCCAGTTCCTTGCCCCATGCAGTTTCCTGGAGCCATGGAGCACTGTTGTCTCCAGCTCTGGAGAGTTTCCCGTCATGTGGCCTCCTTGAACTCCCAGCTATTCCTCGGTTCAGGAGCCTGGAACATGGAGGGGCGATTCAGTGGGCTGTTTGGCTGCTCACGCTTTCCAGGCAGGGCACGGGACCATCACTGAAGGTCCTGGAAGTGCCCTCTTGGAATGCGTGGGACCAGTGCTGATCTATGCACTGGTCTTGGCTTTGGAACCAGTAGGAAAGAGCGGGAAAAACATCGCTGTCGTGATCGTTGGGCAGGAGAGGATTCGGCAGGGTTTAGGCAGGTGCTTGCTCTCACAGATTCAGCTCCGCATGTGCTGCAGCCTGCTTGATCCCCGTAGAGGGACTGGTGACAGCACCACGGTGTGATCTCCCAAGATAGATGAATGCGGTGGGGGCCATCCCTCTGGGACCAGAGAAGGTCACGATACATCAAGCTGCTTGTGTTGTACTGAAGCAACTTTGTGCTCCCCCTGTGTAGGTCAACGTTCGCAGGGAGAGCCTGGTTGAGGAGATCAGGATGCGAACGAGCCAGCCTTAAGCCCCTTCCGGACATGTCTACTCCTTTGTTGGATTCTGGCTGACAGATATCCTCCTGTAAATGCCTTCGCCAGGCCACGTAGCAGCGGGTGCGGGGTCGGGGAGGCCTTTGAAAGCTGTATTTATTCTTGTCTCGTGCCCTCCCTTTCCCGGCGGGAGCAGAGAGGCTGCACCGACTCCTACGACATGCCCTGGCCCTCGAGCATGTTGCTGGAAAGATGTTCTGCAAG